AGGTAAAGAAAGGGGACATCATGCAGCAATATATTTTATCTATCTTTAATATTTTTGAATGTTATTATAGTTTTCTTAAAATGCTTCTCTATCTGTGTTTTTTAATTTTTGTTTTACTTTTATGTATGCACCATGACAACGAGCCAAATACCTCGTACGTGTCAACCTACCTGGTAATAAATTGGTAATAATTCTGATTCTGATAAAACAAATGAAAACTTGAAGATATTTGTTGCCGTTAACTTCCATAGTATATTTTGACGGAAAAAGCACAGGTGCAAATAATAAATAAATATTGGCTTCAGGCTCAAAGGTGCTTCAGGTTTCTCGTACTGGCATGCTGGCTCACTGTCATGGCTTATTGCGACACATGTTATATGTTACAGCTGTGTTTCATTCCTACAAGTCAAAATGTGAAAAACGAGCCGCCTTACCGATATTTTAAGTTTCTTTTTCAAGCCGTTGTTTTGAATGAACAGCGGCCCCGGCATGCAGCTGACAACAGCCGGCATGCCGCCCTCGCAGCTGGACGTTGCGTTGGGCTTGCTGAACTCCAGAGGACAGGCTGCCAGGTGGATCTCTGTGCCTACACACGCCACCGAGTGGACGTGGAAGTGATTCTTCTGACGCTCCAAATACAACCTGGAGGAAGCAGAGACAGGGACTGTGAAGTCTGAAGAAATGTAGCCTACTGTGTCCGAAATCCATACCAAATGTGTGACCTATGTATTATATACTTATCACTATAGTATGCTGTATAAACAAAAAATATCAATATCTAAATAAACTTTAACAAGAGACACTAAAATAGTAATTTTTTCAGTTTTCTAACGTTTTTTTAAGCTGTTCAGCACCAATCAAAATGTATTATAATTTCTGTTCAGCTGACATTACTAATTGCTGTCTATTGTCTGGTTTTACCACACTACAAACTCAAAACATTCATCGAATTAGTATATGTTTTAGATTTGGGACAATGCAAATTATTAAATAAATGAAATGATGGGTTACTAGCATTAAAAGTATACAGTGACAATTAACAATATGACAATCTGAAAAAACAAAAACAGATATATAACTAAAAAGACCACACAAATAAATGAATGACGTAGCTCCTGATCTACAAAGGAACAAACATGCACACCCACCAACCGCTCATGTTATAGTAAGAATAACATCATCCTCACACAAATTACCAAAGATATTGTCTAAATGAATATGAATACATTGAACAAAAGGAAAAACAAAAGCTTAATATGTAGTCACAGTTTGGTGGATAAAGCTTTTTGTTATTTTGTTCTGAAACCAACCACAATTTCAGGGCAGGTGCTCGCACTGGAGGTGTTGGGTCTACACATTTTTTGGGAAGTTTAAATGACATTTGTTTGTGAGGCTTCGGGAAGTGTTTTGGTTATTTACTGAGCAAACTGTTTATCCTAAGATTACCTTTTGCCAGGACTGCTCTGTTTAGTCTTAGAGTTAGCTTTAGCTTTGGGTGTCTGCCTGCAAGGTAAACACGGGTTAGACCGCACAGTTAGGAAGAGACAAATGAGGTGACAAAGTGAAAATGATCATAGTAACAAAAAGGTTACATGATGCACAATTATGTTAAATGTAATGACACTCTTCAAAAGGATGTGCCCACTTCAACATTTACAATACAGTCATTAACACATTTCAGTACACTTTTAAATTGTATGTTATACTCAAAAGTCGCACAGATTTGTTGTAGGTGACACATCCTTTCAAAAAAGATATGTAAATAAACACAAATGGGAATAAAAAGTTATTTTGACACGTTTCATCATGACAGACCCATATACACTGCATGGTCAAAGTATGTGGACAATCTTCGACATACTCTGGTGTAGTTTTGGAAAATATTTAAAGATTTTTTTAAGTGGTGTTGTAACCGGAGCTTTTCTAAAGTCAGTGAATTACACTTAGGCTATAGTAGAACAGTAGAGGCAGAGGTGGATGTTTGGAGAAACAGACAGGAGTACCAGCAGAAAGCTAAATAATGTATCGCTTTATGTTTTGCTTTCCGTGCTGGTATTCCTGTCTGTTTTTCAAAACCGCCATCTATTGTAACTCACTGACTCTGCACCTCGAGGAACTGGAAGTAGACCAAATGCTTTTACTGTTTAGCTGTCCATATACCTTTGGCCATGTAGTGTATGACATGTAAAGCATGATCATTAACATTATGTTTGTTAGTAAAAACAATAGGCTACCATGATTGTAGTTTTTCTATCGTTCCAATGTGAACCTCAAGTTACCACATTGACTTAGTTTGGCGTATGGCATTGCTTTTAGATGTTTAGAGGTAGGTGTAATAGTTAAAGCATGATATTAAATGGTAATATCATGAAAAACAAACAGTCTATGTTAGTGGGTTATTCACTTTTTTCCAATACAGTTGTTAGAATAGAAGAGTTTTTTTGTAGAAATGTACCGACACCAGTCATTAGATAGAAATAATGAGAAAACTCAACATCCAAGCAAGGCAAACGGTACTTTAAGCAAGATAACTAAAATCTAGAACATATTCACATGCTGCACATCATGATACTTTGATATTAAAAAGAAAGGACAACTAGCTAAAGAGAGGCGCTACATGGTTATTGTCTACTACCTACAGGAAACCCACTGTCTAAACTACAGTTTGCAGACGGTGGGTTTTCCGGTGACAGTGTACCTTCCACCGGCTGAAACATTAACCTTTGGCCTGGAGACCTTCTCAGCTGCTCGCTTTTTCAGAAGTCTGCAACAGTGACACATCCAAATTCATCACATAGAGGAGTGAGACTACATGCAAACACAAACATATACACAGTCTGCAACTATATACACACACACACACACACACACACACACACACACACACACACACACACACACACACACACACACACACACACATACTGCCTCTGGGCTCCAAACACATGTCTTTAAGGTAAGAAGTACTGGAGGGTCAGCGGTGAATAACATTTTTGACATTCCACAAGTTCTCCAGTATATCAGGTTACAGACTTCAGGTCAACGAGGTATGATCATAATGACAGAGGCATTTCAACTATTCAGAACTACGGAGGCTGTCTTGAGTCTCATGCCGTTACAACTGATTAATAAATACAGTATCTACAGTACGTGTTAATGGCTGGCGCTCTCTACCTGATTGTATTTGAGAAGAAATATGAACAGCTCTCTTGCTTCGTGCATTCTTGGCAAAGATAATCCCTTAAATATTCCTCAAAATCTATTAAGACTCATGCAAATCCTCCTTAACTCTAGTAGTAGGTCGATGCATTTCAAGTTGGTACTGCTTTCAGAACGCTTATTTTAATGCAGGCGGAAATTGAGTATGGTTTAAGTCCTTTTTATCTGAAGGGTCTTAGTTTTGTGTGTGTTAACGATGAATCTTCCACGCAAGCCAAAGTTGCTCATAGAATTTACACGGATTAGAAAAAGGTCTCGTATTTAGTCACTATAAATATATATATACAGTACATATGCTTCGTAAACAATATAAGAAATGACTCCATAAACTTTCATTTTTATGCAGATGGTACCCAATTATATATTTACTGATCAAGCCAGATCAACCAAGCAAATTCCTAAACTTTAAGCATGCCTTAACGAAGTAAAGAAATTGGATGACCTGAATAACACAGATGGTATTTTACACCTACAAAATGCATTATCTAAAGATTATTGTCTCTGTATGTACATTTCAAGGAATATAGTAAAATGTAAACCTGGATTTGACTTTAAAACAATTGTGAAAAGCCGGTTTTCCATCTTCAGCCCCTGTTAGACTAAGTAACCCAAAAAGACTAAATAAGGACAGACAACACAGAACAGATTGACTGTTGGTTAATGTATGTTGGCTTCTTTCCAGTCGTTGTTGTCTGTTCATTATGTGACCTCTCGCCCCAACCCCGGATCATTCCCCTGAGCCTCAGCCTTCACACACATTTGAGAGAAAACACACATTTCCCCTCAGACTACTGTGAACCATCTGAATAAAACTGCTTCAGCTGGAGGGCAGCCAGGAATGTGTGCAGTCATACTGGAAGAACAAACTCGGTAAAAAAAGTGGAGGTCTGCAAGTGCACCTAAAATATCACTGGTTTGTCTAAAGTCAATATAGTTTTGTACATCGTTGTAACCTGACCTTTTAATGTTTGGTTTCGGCCCAAGTGTGCATTATTACACATAACATATAAGACCTACGTAATATAGATCCTGATTTTAGGGCAAAAACTAACAATTATTTTCATTCACGGCTGAAGCAATTTGCTGATTTTAGGATTAGTAGATCGAGAGAGAAAAAAAAGTCTTCATCTATTTTCTTTCTGATATAATCACAAGATGAATAACTAGAATTGTATTAAAATGGTAATATGAACTAATATATTATAATGTTGATCAGTGAAATGAAGAGAATGATGATGCAAAAAGTATCAATCCCTTATTGATAATAAAGTCCGGCAGTGGCTCAGTCAGTAGGGGGTTGGACTGTGAGGCGTAGGGTCGTCGGTTCAAGTCCCCGACCAGACCTAAAAATGGAGTGTGGACTGCTACTTGGAGAGGTCCCAGTTCACCTCCTGCACTGCCGTGGTGCCCTTGAGCAAGGCACCGGACACCCCCCTTCCCCCCTCACTCCCATTGCTCCCCGGGCGCTGTACAATAGCTGCCCACTGCTCCTAGTACTAGACTCCTGGTACTAGGATGGGTTAAATGCAGAGGCCACATTTCACTGTGTGTGCTGTGCTCTGCATGTGTGACCATTAAAGAGGGTTTCATCCCTCCCAATATATAAAAATATGTTTTCTGTTAATAGTCTTAACTATCAGTGTCAAAGAAAGCCCTGCAGATGAAAAACATGAGGGACAAAACACACTTTGGTTGTACTTTTCCATCTCTGCAGGCACGTCCTGTTAAAGTGATAAAACAAACCAAGAACATGAAATATGTGACCTGACCAAGACACAAAAAAAAGGTTGTGTTTTTTTCTATATCAAGAGGCACAAGGGAGAGAACAATCATCATGTGGTTTGTTGTTCAGCTGCAGTTCTGGCAGATGGTAGAAAAGGTTTCAGTCAACAGAAGTTCCTATAATGTCCACTCTTCAGGGAACAATGTCTAAAAATCCTGCTTGTGGTTCGGTTAAATTGTTGCCACTTTGTTTTACAGACTAAAACCCAGGAATGTCAAACAGGCTGGAGCAATCATCCTGAGTGAAGGAGAAAGTTACATCATCAGAGCGAAGTGGCCTAATTCCCTCTGCTGGTTCATGGAAACAAAGAAAGGTCTAATAGTTTAATGTAGCAGAGTACAAAAAACAATTAGACTGCCCCTTTGTTTGAGATGAATTAATTCCACATTTTGGGTTATACACATCTGAGTCTAACCCCGAGGTAGATTTAGAATACTTTATTGTCTCTTAGATTTGCATAAACTGGAAACTTGTTTTGGGAACTTGCATAAGGCAAACTGCACATGACAATTATGCATCTTAACCACTGTCATATTTTTATTTTTATTTTTTTAAATATGAGGCCATCACCAGCAGCAAGCCAGCTTAGCTTTGCTTGGCATTAAGACAGGAAATAGAGTAAAACAGGAAGCACCTAACATGCTGGTTAGCACACCTTACCTGTTTTAGTCGCGTTATAGGCGTTTCTTATCTTAATGGTAAACTAACAAGCTGCTAGCTGTAGCTTCTAATTGACTGTAAAGACACAAGAGTTGTTCAAATCTTCTTATTTATCTTAACAAGAAAGCAAGTGAGTGTATTTCAAATGTCCAAAATATCAAATTGTACCTTTAAGTTACCATGTAGATGAGCAACAGTCTATTTCCACTAAATTACGAAATATAGGGTTAGATCAATCCTTTTACCATTTTTAAGACCTAATGGTCAAATCCTACTTTGCTATCTGTGTAAAAAGTCACAGCTTTAACCTCATGAACCAGAATCAGATATTATTGGTTGAAGTCGAGCTATTATCTTACTTGTAGAAGTTCTTGTTGACTTTCCTCTCATGCGGGAATCCCAGCATGCCGCAGACCACATGAGTGTTTTTGATCGACCATCTCAGGTCGCAGATCTGCGCCCAGCCGTCTTTATATTTCACTTCCACCACGCCCTCCGTGATGGGCAGCTTCTTTCTGGCAGTGGCGACTACAGGCCGCAGCCGCACCTCCTCTATCTGTTTCTCATCCACCTGAGCCTGTTCGGAGAAAGTGGAGAACAATCGGATGTTTTTTTATAATAATAAATAATTCCAGATTCAAATTTGCTTCTAGATCAAATCAGGTAGATTCGTTAAAAAAGGACACTGATGTTTGATAGTTAAATGAGGTAAGGATGCTTAGAGAATCACAGTATTGTCCTTACTGGATCCTACTGACACATCCATGCACACAGAAGCATGTCTCTATAGGACTCTTTAATGAGAGGAGCAGACTAAACAGTGGGCCACAGCCATTACAGACTACAATTCTAGGTCTAAACAGCTCATAAGTGGTAAACGTGATTCAGCCTTGCAATGAGTCACTTCCGCTGTGGTTTATTTGGAAACAAAACTGGCTTGTGGTCACAGATTCAAGTCTGAACGCCACATTTGACTGGGCCTGCAACTGGCAGGATAGAGTGAGAGTGGTTCCGCATCTGGAAGTCTGCCCACTTAACTCTTATGAAACTTTTTTTCATAAGACCCTTCTATGTAACAGAGACACATATATCCAGTCATTCAAGCTGTTTCCAGGAGTCTGAAAACAAGTCCCCGGTCCAACCTTGTTCACCTTGGACCAGTCAGCCATATTAATGGAGTTTTAAAACGGACTGCAATGATGGAACAATGCTACTTCAAGACACCACCAAACTGCTCCTTTATAAATGTTTTTATTGAGGGCTAAAAATTACATTTTGTACGTTTGCCAGGCTCAGACACATTGAAGAGCTGAGCTAATCAACAGCATGTGTGTGGCAGCTACAGGTGGCAAAGAGGCATTGAACTACTTCCATGCTGGTTAAATCTGACAGTATATAAACTGTGGGAGATTAGATTATAAGCCTGTATGATGAACCTCATTTTTACAGCAGCAAAATCAGGCTTGTGGTCACAACATGTATATTTTTGTCTTTGGCACTGGCATAAAAGACAAAAATAAACAAATCACACCAAAACAAAATAATTCATCTTATTCTCAACCAAATAAACCACAAAAACAGTTTTGTAACAAAATTACGATTTAAAAAAAAATGTAATTCAGCAACTTACATCAATAACATTTGATTCCACAAATCCGGGGATCCTCTCGTCTTTGCACACCACTCCGGCGTCCTCATCGTGAGTGCAGTCACTGTTGCCCCAGCCGCGAGACTTGCAGGAGTCGATGCTCCTCTCCCCCCCGTTACACTGCACGTTGTCCAGCCAGATTTTCCCTGGACAGGCAGGAGACTGTCAGTGAGACTGCAGCACACTCCCAGGCCTGCGGAAAGTAATCATTCCAGGCCTGGAAGTGACACTTGGTTGCTTGAAATGTTGGTGCTCTGGGCACTCATGGCAGAAAGTTCTTCACAGTACAATATAACTAACAGAAAATGATATGAGTGGATTATCTAAAGGTCCTCTGTGTATATCCAAACCTGTCATTTTGAGCACCAAATAACCATATGACAGAGCACACAGTGTATTAAGTAAGAATCTTGACATCAGGAAGTGTTTTGAAGTCACTCTTACCTTGGCCTTTGCCATATTTGGCGCTGTGGGTCCATCCTGTGGCTTCCACGAAGCCCAGTTGGCGACAGAGCACATTGGCGTTGGCTATCGCAAAGTCGTCATCACAGATGGTTCCCCACTCTCCCTTGTAAAAAAGCTCCACCCGACCCTCGTTGTGTTTCCTTGGGTATCCAGACAGTCTAACCCTTAGCTGTTCGGTCTGCGGGGATGAAGACGTTGTGGGGGTCCGCGTGGGGGTCCCCGTGGGGGTCCGAGTGGCTGTGTTTGATGGTGTGGTCTGGGCCAAACAGCAAGGTAACAACAACCCAAACAGAAGGGAGACTGCTAACTTTTCCCTGCGTCTTGACTTCTCCATTGTTACAACTGCAAATAAAAAAAAGGAAAAGAGTAAGTCGACAATAAAAACATTTATGCAGACCGGTAAGTGTCCCCTTTCTGCTCTTAATGTCTAAAAGCCCCCCCTATTTAAAATGTATGTTTAACCTGGAGAAATCTGCTCAATTTTTGAAAACTTTTATTTACAGTTTTGATCATACCAGATGGGAAACAGCTGAAGTTCGCCCTTCAAATGACCCTCCGGTTTGCCTAAATACCCTTTTGGGTCCAACTCTGGTCAGCCCTGGTGCCCCCTAAATGATACTCTGAAACGTTTATACAAATAGCTTTGGTTAAAACCGGGAGTGTTCTGAAAGAGGGGCTGAAAATACACTCAGTTCATAGTAAAGTAAGATTGATGAAATGTGATTCAAACCATCTGGTTATGTTTACTTGACTCAGATATGGGGGAGAATAACAGGGAAGATTCCAAAATGCTTAGGCACAATCATGCTGACCACAAAAGTTACATGAATGTTTATATTATTGATATTAACAGCTGCCCTTTGACTGGAAACTTTTCCTCTTTTAAGCAGCTTTTTTGTTCAGTTTTATTCATGGTTGTCGTGCCAGTTTCAGGATTTTTTTTTCCTGTTGGTTATTAGTCATTATATTTTCTGATACAACAAGCTACCTTTTTCCCACAAAATGTTCACCCTGCTCTCTTAAACCTTCCTGTAGGGCTCTGTTTGTGAATGCTAACATAAGACTGCTATTGATACCCTGACAGCTACACTTCTTCTTAGCTTATAGCGAGTAGGGGGTTGTTCCTTCAGAGACACACATACTGTACAGTAGTGTGATTTGTACAGAAACCACAAACTTAAGGTGCCCTTTCAAAAACATGTCTGAGACTGACTGCGCAGTCTGAGTCCAATTTCACAGATTATGGAATGACCCACGCGTTCACACTAAGCTTTAGTCTGCAGGGGCTTTTAAGGCTGAGCCACAATGTCTGAACTGAAGCCATGCCACAAGTCGTGCCACATTTGGCGGGGGGGAAATATTCTGTATTTTAAACTAGGGTTGGTAATCCTTGAAATATATGAAGAGTAGGGTGGATTTTGAAATGTAAAACCCCAGCTGAGTTTGGCCAACCCTTTCCCAATGAAAGAAAATAGCAGCACTAGCTCAATTAGTTGCTAAATTAGACAAAAAAGTAGTCAAGTTTGCAACGCTGACAGTCTGTCTTCTGAGCCACACTACCAAACAATCATAATGATTATAAACACCAATTATTTCATGTTTTCATGTAAAACATTTCATTATTGTTTTTGTAGCCTTTGTTACATGAAACCTCCATGACATTAGGCCACCAAGTATCTGATTGTATTGTGCTTATGCATGAGTCAAACCAACTCTCTCACTCGAACACCCACACACACACTCTGAAGGAGGGACTCTCCATACCAATGAGCTCATGGATCAGGTTTTGTGGAAGTCTCAAATCAACAAGCAGCAGCAGCAGCCGTTCTCCAGCACAACATACAGAAAACTTTGGTTATCACAAAGTCTTTTAATGAGACACTGAATGCACACATTCCCACCAAAACAAGCATACAACTTTTGTCAAACTATGAGTAAAGGCTCCCTTGATGCAAAGAAAATATGTAACTGCCTTGTCACAGCATGTGTTTGAACTCATAGGAACTTTGTGGAACTTTATATGAAAAAGCACATATGTGCATGATCCACATTAACAGGAATACAATGGATGATGTAAGAACCTGAATTATAGATAAGGGATAAGACACTATAAAGAAGGGGAACAAATCGAAATGGAAACACGTGGTGGTCAAACATTTCCTAGAAAGAGAAAGTGCAATGCTTTGTTGGTTTTTCTGATCCACTTTACTGTTTTGTCCACATCCAAATCTCCAACTGTAGCATTGGGATGTAAACTCAAACATTAAACAATATCACCATAATAATAGGGTAATCTTTTCTGATTGTTAAAGAATCAGAAAAACCCAACCTGCACCCTTTCACCACTTATTTTCTGGAAAACAGATGCTACAGAGCATCCAGGCCAAAACCCATATATTGTGAGTGTGAGGAGTTCATTTTCTATTCTAACTAAACATATTCACCCCTAATGATACGATTATTACAAAGTTCTACCAACACATTTGAGTACACCAAACAAGACATCTAGCAGCAGGGATTTCTGTGAAAACACTTCAGACTATTTTTCCAAGTCAATATTTGGCTTGAGAACACATTTTGTTTCCTGTTGCAACATTCCTCACATTTTCTTCGATATCCAGCTTCCTAAAAGTGAAGGTTTGTTTTACTAATATACATACTAGCCTATAAATGGGGCTTTAAAGCACTTTGATGCCTAACAGAGTTATCAAAGTAGTACATACTTTAAATACAATATATCAGGTAGAAGTTAATACCCAGATAGTGTATGTACCTTGTTCTTTTCAACTATAGAAACACAGCATGATAACTTTGTAAAAAATGTTCATTTTGCCGGAAAATCACTATTCTCTTCATTTCAAACTACAACTAAACAACTATAGCCTTACCTTACGTTTCCAGTATGAGGAGGTTATAACGGTTCCAGTGAAAAAGGAGGGGGAGCTTGGTCTTGAATCTTTCTGATCCCGAAGTTCCTAAAGGACTAAAGGTGAATAAATATCCCAGAACTTCAGCTAATTCATCTCCTCCACCAAACAAGGGTCCAATTTGCGGGGCAGTGGTCCACCAAGCAGCCAATTACTCCTTCCAGCGTTAGTTACTCTCTGTAAATTGCCAGCTGTGCAGCCCTCACCGAGGAAGAGGAGGAGGAAGAGGCTGCGAGACCGAAGTGGGCTGGATTTATTCCCTGGAAAGACACTAACTCTTTCATGAATGGTTCTGTAACAGGCGGGCGGTCGTCTCTTGCATAAAAGAAGTGTATTTAACTTATGTCACACGCAGGCTACGTGCCTGACAAATCGCAGGAGATTTACAATCGGAAAAAAGCTGCAAATAGCTTATTGGGAAAAGTTAATATTGACTGCAAAATCCATTAAGTATCCTCACATTGACCCACAGTTTATATTGCACAGGACATGTTTATGGCTTTGTGCTAAAGTTGAAATGGTCATTTATGGCCTCATGATTTTGATACCTTGGGAACCTCTTGTTAGGGACCTATTAACCAAAACTCAGCTTACCCCAATGAACCCAAAGTTAAATAATTCTACTTTTTGTGAAAATAAAATAGCGTTTAATATTCTTACCGAAAGTCCCGCTGGAAGAAATACAAATCTAAATATCGACCCTGACACTTTTCGCTTGTTTTCGTTTGTGTGTGTAATGTTTAAAGATACAAAAGATAATATAAACGTCTTCACAGCAGGTTGAGTAACCACTTAACGTCATTTCAAACTGAGACTTTATTTGGTCAGTTTAGGCAAAATATCAACGTTGTTTTAAATTTTTTTAGAAACAACAGGGGTCCAAGCGAACTAACGTCGCCCTCATTTGCATAACATTTAATGTAACATTTCCCTGCCTTTGTTACGATTCGCTCAACTCCAATAATAAATGGGGGCGAACTTCGGCTTTAGTTGTCTGTAGGCTACTAGACACTGCTCTAATGTCGCGGGTAAACATAGTGGTGGCAAGTAAAGTAACTTCTCTAAGGTAGGCTACTGTACTTAAATGTTGAGGTACTTTAAGAATTTATATGTTCTGCTAGTTTACACTTCTACTCAACTACATTTCAAGGCAAATATTGTACTTCTATAGTCCACTACATTCATTTACTTAGCAGATTCAGATTAATAATAGCAAATATAATTCATTTATAATGTATTTTTTTTACCAGCAGCAAATAATGTCCTTTTATTTTTCGGATTTTAAGAATATTTTGCTGCTAAAAATGTATGTTCTTCAAGTAAAACACAGTCAGTTCTCACAAAGATTAGAAAAGTTTGTTTTTAATAGAGACAACCCAGTAAGAAATGTGTTATGACTCGTTACAAAAATAGTACAACGTTTTCTTTAACGCTACAAATGTAAAGCAAATAAATGTAAAGCAAACAAATGTAAAGCAAACAAATAGGAAAACCTAGAGAACAACGACCCAGTTTGCCTTGTTTAAATCCTGCTGCGAAAAATATTTTATGCACGATACTAAAACATTAAAGGCACTTATATTTACTATATAAACCGTCACAAAGTTCATACCTAGAAAACTTACAGCTGAAAAACCCTCTTTGGGTAGATAATGATTCAACATGATCCCTGTTATCCAGCAATAGACCAATATAACAAACAGATGACATCAAAATTGGACGGAAAGCATTACATGAAATAATAGGACAATCAGAGACTAAATCTTGAACATGTTCAAGATCAACCTTTAAATACCTCTTGAAAAACAAAAGCATTAGGAAGCCTTCCCAAAACATACATTTAAGTCAAAACATGAATATTTAAGCACAAACGTACAAAACCAAGAAACACATTGTTTAGGGTTACAGGACCGAAATCCTCCATTGGAGGGATGCGTTACGTTTCTGCATTCAAATAACCTCTTTTTAAAAAATTGAATCTAAGGATTACGCAGGAATAAAATGCCCTGATTTTACCTCAGTATCAATACATTTTCAATTGCTTTGATTTCTCTCTCTCTACAAAGATCAGGATGCAGTGGCTCAAGGGCACTTCAGCAGGGGAGTTGTTTGGGGTAAGAATGAGACTTAAATCTATACCATAGGGTCCAGTCTTTCTAACCCCACAGATGATTGTCCAGATTTCTTTGCAAAGCTCAAAGTAAAAATAACTAGGTAAACAAACTTTAGAAAACTGCATTGAAATCTAATTCAGGAAATATGTTCAAAGGACTCATCATTTCTATAACGGTAACAGTTAACATCTCCATTCAAGAGTAAATCTGATGAAATTGTGTTTTTTCATCAATTATTTAGTAAATTATCCAATGAGAAAAACAATAATTGTTCATACACAACCGCATTTAAAGTCCTATTGGTGACATAAGTAAATACTCAAAAACATAAAGGACTAATAATAAGTGGTTGTAAATTATTTTCAGTGCTTTTTTTCATCTTTACTAAAATAATAGCAGGTAAATGGGAGTATTATCAAGACAATATGTTGCGTGACAGTCATGTTACAGCACACAAAACATATCAGTTGAATAAGTTAGTGGTAGTTAGTGTTTGACTATAGTTCAATCATCACAATTCCCATATTGTCCCAGTCTTTGTTTGACTACCTATATTTTGGTATTAATAACTACTGGTATGAAGAGCTGAAAGGATTAGTCAATAATAATCTGCAACATGATAGTCACAAAAATAATCCTAGTTCCAGTTTCTGAAATATGAATATGTTTTAGCACTTTTTGGTCTTATATGATAATAAACCAAATATCTAATAAAGTATTTGAAAGACGTCATATTTGATTTAGGAGACGTAGGTATCTTTCTACCTTTTTAGACTGATCAGTTAAACAACACATTTAGGATATAAACAATTAATTGTGCTTTTTTTTCTGTGATTATATTTCGCTTCTACCACCCATTATATAAAAGTACTATACACAATCGTTCAACCATGCACCTGGTACCAAAGTAGGGTAAAATACACCTGGCCAGTAACCCACCGAGGGGTAAGTGCAGCCAACAAGACTATACTATGTGACGCTTAGGTTTTAATTGAAGAATTTCAGGCAACCGTGGTGATTTTATCCTGAGTTGTTTTAGCATTTTACAAAACCAGCTTGATTTATGGGAACAAAATAGGACCTTTGCCTTTCACAACCAAAGTGTACCAGTAACTGGCTGCTGGCTGGCATAACATCCCACTGTGGGGTCAATTCTGGACGGTCTAAAGTGCTAATGGTCTACCAGCAGACTGACAAGTGTTTCTTTGGATATCATTCGGACGGATTAGGACGGATGCAGAAGCTCTAACAGGGCTCCAACTGCTCCGAAGTAACCCTGAAATACACAAAAAAGAACATTGATTCAGAAATCATTATGCCCATAAAGCAAAAAAGTACATTTATAGTGAAATAAAGGGTTGAGTGATTTACCTCATGCTGCATGAAGAGCGCCTTCAGTTGTCCTTTAGACCAGTAGTCCATGGCGTAGGCCAGCAGCTTCATAGAGAGGGTGTTCACTCTCAGGAAGTTTCCCACAAACACCACTCTCTCTATGTTCTTAATTAGGCAAGAGAATGGGGATACAATATTTTTGGTTAAAAGGCAAGCTTATTTTATGAACACTGTTATGTTATCTACATGACAAACTCTGGCTTTGTTTCTCTGATGAGGAAGTTACCATTTCTGCTTCGTAATCAGAAGTCCACACACTCTCTCTCTCCTCATTTTATATTAACTTTTTTATCTAATTTGTAAAGCAGTTTATTTGACTCCAGATTAAGGGGGTGCATGTGAGACATGCTACTTTGATAGCAAAAAAACTGGAACAATAGACACATCTGATTCATTATTGTTTTTAATAATTGTTTGTGTTGAACATGTTGATAATGCAGCGTACGTCCTCTACGCCTTCATAGCCCTGTACAATGCTGCTTGATCAAGACGTCACAAGGCAGCACCGTAAAGAGGCTGAACGCAAAGAGGAAAGCCCAGCAGGGACACTGGAGGAGAACTGGTGTTTTCACAGACATGTTCATCTCAAGGAAATCTTTCCCCGCTCCATTGTATCTTGACATTCGTCCATCCCACCTGAACTGTTATGCCATTCAAAACTCAGATGCCAATGAAATACTCTGCAGCATATACAGTGAATGAGCTACTAACCTCATTGAGAGCACACATCCTGGTGATGGAGCCGATGTTATTGGTGATGCTGACTAGTGTTGCTCTGGCCAGGTCCTCTTTGGACACCGTCTCCCTCTTCTCTTTGGACACCATGTTACCAAAACTATCAAATCAAAACACAAGCAATATTTTAGAGAAATAAAAAGGCTAAAGTCCGTTCAATCTTTAACAAAGTTATACATCAAACAGCGAATCCCGAAAACAAGATTCAGAGCAAATATATATATATATTTTTAAACATTTGGTCAGTAGGACCATCACAATTTCATATTGTGGCCAAAAGATAATGATATAGTGTGAATGAAATTTGTCTTTAAATTTGTGTTTTTTGTGCATTCTGTCAATTTTTTGGTCAATTAATTGGGATAGAAAGCATAGCACACTTTACTGGTTTCTGTTTTATTAAAGCAGAGACTGTGCTTTTGATTGATTCCACCAAAAAAAGGCTTTTGACCTAGAGTAAAAAGCTGCTGTAAATCGCACCTTGAGGCTACAGCCCAGCCCGGCAGCCCAAACCTCTCATAGTCTCCTCCGTAGATGTCTCGGACCAGCTTGTCCACTTTGGTGCTCTCCCCTTCAGAGGCCATTGCTAGAGCTTCCTCGAAAGATGAGCAGCCAGTCAGCAGGCAACACAGACCCAGGAAGGTCCCACCGCCGAGGCTGTGAAACCACACAGATTAACAGGGGGAGAATCAAATTGTAAATGTGTATATTCTATAAATGTAAAATACACCAGTCTGGATTGTAAGGTCTCAATTTTAGTCTAAAATGTAGGGGGAAAGGGACATTTCTCACACAAAATCCAGCTAACACAGAACTATTTTGTTTCAACTCACAAGCAGACAGTTAAGTGAAGGGAAGTTGTTGGGTGGCAGATGTCTAAAAAAATGCTGCTACTTTTCACATCAAGGCACTAGGAGGACACGAAGGGCTGACGTCACTTGACTGGAGTGCATCCATCTGCAAATCCCCAGGTATCACTTAACCAGGTCTCAGCCTGTTTATGTCTCTCTACTGTCACAGCTTTGTTTTTCTGATGGCACTTGGGGCCAAGTACACTTAGAATTATAAGATAGGTTTTTCTTTGAAGACATTATCGTTGGAGTGAGCTAAAGGTGCTTTGAGGACTGAAAAAGTAACTTTGAGGAAGACACATTTCTCCTGGGCCGGTAAGCCAAAACTAAGGTTTCCGAGTTATCCTGCTGGGAATCTACACGGACACGTAATATTCAAGTTTTGCATTGAACTAGCAGCCACAGTACTTTGACATGAAGCAAGGGGAGGGGGAGTGCGCCATCTAGGGTCTCAATGTCATCTATACCATCTTTAATGAGTTGCACTCATCAGGAATTGTATGGTTTTTTTGTATTAATTTATTTTTCCTTCTCCCATCTTTTAATCCATGCAATCTTTCTCCCTTTATTTTTGTCTTACCTTACTTCTTTTTATTGTTATTACTTATATTTTAAGAAATGTTTCACTATTTTCTTATTGATATAATAGTTATAGATTATTACTCCAACTAACAGTTGTTTTTGGCTGTCTGTTATAGATTTGGGTAATATGTGTGAATGAATACAAAAATAAATGTGGTATTTGACTAAATTTCACATAATTATTATTATATGTATTTATATTAGCATACCCCTGCAGACCCTGTACGCCCTCTAGGAATAGTTCCTTTTTTGTATTTTTATGACTTTTGATCATTACCCCCCTGATGTTTAAAGGTCTTACATCTTCATGGCTGATAATTACCTGGTCCCTGTAACTCGTTTGTAGTTGGTCTCAGAGTAGACGGCCAGGATGCTGACCCCGGACCCTATGTTGACCAGCAGAAGAGGATAGGGGTTCTCCAGTGTATAGGGCTTCTGGATGCAGCGTTCTGGGTCAGTGGGGTTTTCAAAGTAGTAGCACTCCGAGGGTCCGCTGGACACCACCGAGTCGATGTACAAAACCCCCCGGATCAAACAGTCCAGCTCATCCAGCTTGTGAAGCTGCAGGTCCGCCATCTTTTATTTGAGAGGGTAAAAGAACATAGATAACATCACTGAGGGGGAGGTGGTCAGGAGAACACAGAGGAAGGGAGACGCAGGGAGGAGGGAAAGCAGGGGGGTAAGAAAACAGGAACCTTCACTAAAATTCAATTGAAATGTGCCTCACCATTTTTATAAAAATAATTGAAGGAACCTTTAGTGCCACAATTCTGATTAATCTTAGTGTTATCAGTATAATTTGTTCTTATTAGAGAATTGATGTTTATCACAGTACTTACGGGAAAAACAATGGTAGCCTAATGCGAAATTCATGAGGATATGCATGCTGTCTTTGTCCTTGTTATTAATGCCAAAATTGCATTATATCTTTAAAAGTTGTATTTAGGTGCTCTTCATCTAATTCTGTTCAGTAAGAATCACACACATTCCCATCACATGCTATAAATATGTTCAATATGACTTCACTATTTTCTCTCCTCTTTCCTTCCTGTCAATCTCCACAATCCAGCCTGTAAAAGCAAACAGGGGAGAACACCTGCATGGACCCACCGTGCGGAAATCTGCCTCAAACTTGTACGCCCCCCCTCCCGTGGCGCAGAGGGTGGTGTGGAGGCTGGAGAAGTGCTTGCTGCGGGCCATCTGCAGGAAGGCCGGCAGGTCATGCGTGGGGAAACGGATGAAGTGCAGGTTGCCTTTCCTGCCGCACAGCGTCAGGTCCTGCAGCTCCAGGTGCACGTCCCTAATGCCAGTTTTACTATAGGCAATGTTGGAGGTGAGGTAGCGCCGGATGCTCTTCAGGTTCTCCACCTCTTCCTGCTCCTCCTCTGCTGTGATGTCTTTGGGCTCAAAGTAGACCAGCTTCACCAGAGTGCCTCCAATGTCCATCCCAAACCAGGGAAATGCTGCATTATGTGAAATAATCAATGCAACAACAACAAAAAATCACTCACAATATTCATTTTATTTAACATTGCATAACATAATATCTTTCATATTTAAATGCTTATTGACAGTAGTTACAAATAGAGGTGATGTAAGATTGTTGAACGACATAAGGAAAAGCAGCTTCATCCATAGAGGCAGAAGTACAGTGTGTACCGTGAACGCCATCTTGTTGCAAAATAGACCCTGGCTATTCACTGCCACTACACCTCAGATATTACATTGTACTACAAAGACCACTATTATGTTGTCAGTTCTAAAATCTTCTCACCAATATCAACACATTTACAATGCATTTTAAATACGCTTTATGTATATACATCTTCATTTTAAATCTCAATTATTATTGACTGTCTTTTGTGGGCTACGCCTTTTAATTTATGTATACGATACAATCCCCAGTAAATACACTAAGCCCATGCTAGTAACGGTAACACCTACGCGGCCTTGTTTTCTTCACCGAGTCGCTCCGAAGCCTCGCCGTCGAGTTGGAGGTCTGCCGCGTGGATGTGGCTCTTCCTGCGGGCGATGCAGCCTCATTGTCGGGCTCATTTCTGAAACACCCGGGCTTCTCCCTGTCGGACCGCGGCTGCTTCGTGGGCGTTTCGTCTTCGTCGATACTTTCATCGTCGCCTTGGTGGCCATTGGACGCCATCAAAATGACTAAATCACTACATACATACTGCCACTTTATGATAAATAAAACTATTAAATGTCAATGATTTATGTGGACAATGAAGTCTAGGCCCTAGCTAATTAGCTAGCTAAGTAGCTGTGTCGTTATAACGGCCGTGTGTACATGTCCTTTTTTATTCTCGCTGTCAAGCCAGGGGTGGGCGGGGTCAGAGGTTTGATTGAAAGACGCCAGAACCAATCAGAATGCGAGTTAGCCAGTTAGAAAACAGTTCGCAAAAGGAGGCTGGTGTCACATTTGTCTTTAGTTTTTCACATTAAAAAAACACATTTTGTTGTTTTTCAGAATGCATGAAAATCAAAACAAGCACCATATGTATAGCTATATCCCGGAAATAGCTATTATACATTTACAGATTAGGAAAGATTATTGATTTAAATGAAATATCCATAAGTAGAAGCTCTCTTAATGTTGGTAAATTATTATTTACATATAATAATAACAACAACAACAACTGTTCTATGTGACATTGGTCCCAAAAAGTTATTGTGGACTTAAAATAAATCTGTGCTATTTCTTCTGTGAAATCAACATGCACACTCAACAAATATTTGTTTTATTTCAGGTTTATTGGTATAATTGCCAAGTGGGTATCCAGAGACAGTCTTTACATTTTTTTGATAAACCGTAAACTGAGATCACAATTTACATGTTTTCTATAGTGAATACATTTAAGAATCTTTGCAGCTCAAATAACCTGATAAAATGTGCAAAAACATTTATTTCCCCCCCCCCGAACATTTCTTATATTAACAATGCTATTTACAATAAAACCTCTTCTCAAACTTTCTTTTTAAAATAGAGGAACAACTTTGAAAGCTTCATGGCCATCATCTGGTGTAAATGTTTGAGATGAGATTTGATTTTTTTCAAAGTGCATATAGGATACTTTAAAACATTTTATTATTATTATTTTATTCAGCATTTTTTGTAATGATCTAAACGGATAACAATTAGAGGATGTTTACACTAACAACTATTTAAAATGTTCCTATTTTAACATCAAAACGGAAGAAATTAGCATAACCACAAAAGTGAACATTTAAAAACCCAGTTAAATGTGCAGCTAACAACATGATAGCTCAAAGTGAATACCTTCCATGTAATGATTTGTTGGCTCTCACTTAAAAAATTGCTTAAGCATTTTGAAGTTGTGTGATTGGACTGGGTAAAGCTGGAAATGAATGTGCGTTTTGGGGAACATCAAGTCGTCTTAATCTCTGGCTCAAAAAGAAACAGGACAGGGCTATTAAAGAAAACTCACTTTGAAGCAGTGCCATCGTTTTTAAGCAGACATTGCATTGGAATGTTTTTGACAACACATTTTCCTAAAATACATAATTGGATATCTTTATAATCTCTATATATGTACAAATAAATACACAGTGCACTAGCCATCGTTTACAGAGTGGGATACTGGCACTCTTTCTTCCGCAGTCAAGATCCAGTAGTTTAAGGTCCTTGGTACACTTATCTTCCCTGGATGATAGCCAACAGTCTTATCTTAAAAGTGCATGAGACACACAAATATTTGTATAATTAATACACAGCACAAGTGTTTATTTACAAACTTTGCGGCACATGCATAAATAACCTAAGAACCCATTTCCATGAAGTTCCCAAACTAGAATAAAAAGGGTAGATTTGGTTTTTGTTTACTAGGGCAAACTTAATTCAACAATAAAATAATAATACATGGCCCAACTTAACAACATACTTGTAATTAATGACATGATCAAAGGTCTGGCAAGTCAGCTATTATTACTAAAGGTAATTATGACACAGCTGCCAAGCACCCTTTCAGTTCACTGACTACAATAAGGCACCATAACCTTAAGATCCTCTTTTAAAAAGCCTTAAAGCCTAATCTTCCCCTCCTTCAAAAAGGTATTCAATCCACTTAATTTTTAAACCTCCACGCCATCACCAGGGCACAGGCGCCCACTCCTGCAGCCGTCAGAATGTATTTAGTATTATTCGACTTCTTCTCTGGATTCTGCAGCGTCTTCGGCTCTGGGGAGATATCAGCAGGTGTGGGCTCAGAAGGGAGGCAGTTCTCACCAGAGGGGGTGTTTACACTCAATACAGTGTTGGTGGATACTGGTGGTGCAGGGATGATCTCTTTGGCTGCGTCACCATTCATGATTTGAGCTCGTGTTATTGAGCTTTGGCCATCTAGGTCAAGGATAGACGGCTCCTCGGATATATGCCCGACATTCTCCAGCACTTGCATATCCAAACTCTCACAGGGAGACTCGTAGTGGTTTTCCACCGGTTCGCTGAGGTTTGGAGCGATGCCGTTCTCCTGGCATGGCAGTGCGGTATTCACAGTGGTGGAGCATGCGGGGAGGAGGGAAGAGGTCACAGCTTCTGATGCAGCATCACTGATTTCCAGATGCTCACTATTCCCCGAATAGAGCTGCACCGGCTCTCTTTGTTCAGGGATAGCAGGGATAGCATCTTGTTGTGGGTGGATGCTGAGGAGTGGGCCAGGTTTGCTCAGACACACAGAGCTGTCATCACAGATAGGGGTGTCCGTCTCTGCAGCAACCGGCAGGGGGGAGGGGGCAGCTTCAGTTTCTGTCTGCGGGCTGCTTTCAATAACCTGCAGGAGACAATTACATGTCAATTTAGTTTTTTTTTTTTTAAAAGCTGTGTAGACAATATGTTCAAAGTTTAAATGAATGTATCCATATCTGTTTCACCGTTAAACAAAAACTCAACATCATAAGCTCCATAGAGGTAATTATTTGAAGGCCTTGTATATAATTCCTCTCATTTGTAATGAAAAATGCTGCCAACAAAAAGTAGCTTTTCACGTATCACTTTTACATTATGAATACTTTTCTGCAAACATTTAACATAACAGCTATTTTTTAAGGCAGGAATGGGAAGTAGCAACAATTGCAACACTTATTCAATAAAAGGTTCACATAAATCTGCAGAACATTAAATTGAATTCCCTTTAGCAAAATGCTCTGAAGTCCCTTCTTGTAAACAGTTACGCAGTGTACTGTATATGTCTTGGGCTTTTATTGTGAAAGGTATGGACAGAAGGATCTGGTATGTGCTGCCTTTTTCAATGTTGAAAGGAACGATAAAGTTTGCAGCCTTGTTACTGTATAGACTATGGAGACTTTATGTTGTGGTTATATAATCCTCATAAAGATACTCATAGTGTATGTTTTGACGTGACATCTGTAACACACAACATGATTGGTCAATGCCTTCATAGTAAAGCTCAAAGAATGCAACTTTACCCTGCATAATATTTACGTTCTGTGAAAGGTATTTATGAGTTGAATTTTTTTTTAAAACTTCATTTATTTTGTTATTCACCTGTGTCGCAAGCGGCTCAGACGTCTCTTCAGGCAGCAGGAAAGGAGCAGGTTTCATGTCCACAGGGGGGGTGGTGTCCTGGACCGGAGGTTTCTCTGGGGTTAAAGTGAGGAAAGAGGATCCATCGGTCACATCCGAGTTCATCTGAGATGGAGAGGGACTCTGTGGAGGACTGATCTCCGTGGAGGTTGTTGTTGTTGTTGTTGTTGTTTCGACAGGATCTTGGATGGATGGAGTTTCTGTTTCCAGCTCCTCAGCAGGTGGTTGCGGAGGGGCCACAGCGTCGATCAAAACCTCACTGTTTCCTGCGCTCACCTGATCGGGCATCGCAGCATCATCACCGGAGACATCCTCAATGTCTGATTCAAGGTTTTCCACCGGCTCCTGGTGGGAGTTGCTCTCAGGAGGAGGGGTTGATGGAGGGGGCTCCACTTCACCCTGAGTTGGCTGTGGAGGGGAAACCACCTCAGGAACTTTGGCTTCTGCACTCGGGGGGGCTTGTGGCTGCACAGGGATTTCCAGAGGCGGTGAGGCCTGGGCAAGTGGCTCTGCAGGAGCTGGTGCTTCAGCTGGCAGAGCAGCAGCAGCAGCCTGACTGTTTGCACCGCTCTCTGCGGTGGACAGATGCCTGGCAGATGGTGCTGGATGCACGTATGCCCTGACGACAGTTGTTGGAGGAGAGCTGGGGTTGGAATCTAGGCCAAAGAAAATTATGACGTAATCAAATCCATTTGGAATCCTTTTTCAAATACACAATATCATAGCCCAGGACACTCAATGACAGACTCTTATTATCTCTTATAGACACTGTGTGTTGCATTGATACACATCTATCCTGCACATTTCTGGCCCCTGCATGGACAGTTCACAGCTTTATACACTCGCGACCTTCAGAGATAACTCTGTAGTTGTGTAGGACTGAAATAAACCTCTTAAATTCTCTGGGTAAGATTTACTGTATTGGCTGTATAAGATATTCAGTACATCTCATGCTTAACGATGCCCCTTGGCTGTAGTAATATCTTTTGAACTCACAACTTCTCGTCGATAATTGCATAACTCCACACATTAATACACAGCTCTAGGTACTGTATTAAAGACTTACTGTTGGTGCCTCGCAGAGTGTCGTATTCTGTTCTAATCCCAGCTGCTAAAATTGGCTGCTCACACGCCTCGAGTGCTTCGATGAACTGCTCGGGCCAGTTTTCTCTTCTCTTCAGACAGTCCAGCAGAAGCACCATGCCGTCATAGTTCCCACGAACCTCTCTTTTTGCCTCAATGTTTTCCTAAAATGTAGATTACATTAAAAAAAAAAACACATACATCAATTCATCAGCTTCTTGTTGGTGACTCGCTGATTATCTTCTGAGAAGTTTATTATTCACAAAGAAATATTCCTGTCATTAATGATATTAAAATGTATCAATATCCCTGTCAATATCCCATAAACAATAAACAAATGTAAACATCCTTTTCAATGCCAATTAAAAACATTTGACGACCATATTTTGGAGATTTGATCCCTCACAGATTTAGTGTCAGTTAAAACTTACCCTGTCGTGAGAAGTCAAGCAAGGCAGGTGGATCATTACTTCTCTCACTTTCACCCTGCTCACAATGGTCGGCATATTCCGCCGCAGATACCCATTGTACAGCTTGTCACTGGCAAATGACATCTGTGAAATTAGAAAATAGAAAAAAGACAAAGAGATAGTAAAGACTTCAAGTCCCATGCCTTTTCTTTATATTGCAATTTTGCAAGGTTGTACTTCAGTTTGCAAGGCATATGTATGACATGTGAAAGTACCCAAAAAAAGTCTTAGGAAATCTTTTTTGTCTGCAATGATTTCATACACACTTGAAGGGTTTTTACTTGAAGAAACCGAAAGTGAAAGTGGAGATCAGCCACCCTGCAGCATTAGTGGTAAAAAGAAAAATTCCCTTACAGTTCACAGGAAACATAAAAACTCTGCTTCCTTTCGTTTCAATGGGTGGATAGCAGTCCCTATTCTCAAGGTTGCAGCTGTCTGCAGTATTACTGTAAGAAGTTGCACAGGCCCTCACTAGTCACTGATTAATCACCCTCGGTCCAAATATCAAACTTCAAATGTGCAGCGTAGTCTTCTCAAAAGTCACTATGTCCTTTTCAGGGTCAAGTCAAGCTTGCTGTTTCCGATACACCATAACACCTTCACTTTGCTTGTATATAAACAGTCAGCTTAACTAATCTGTTGACAGGTTCAAGTCATGGGGAACGTTTTCACAGGATTATCTGTTCATCTCTGGCCAGGTCAAATAGAGCAGTACTTTCAAGTTTAGTGTAAACGTGGGAGAGCACCAGCAGCAGCAGTCTGGAATAAATGTCACAGGAAGGAACCAAAGAGCAAAGTCTTTCTCCCTGTATCATTAGCCCTCATAGGCCAGGGTTTACTGTACCTGTCACACACACACAAACACACAGTTGGGTATATGACTGTCTTTAAATGCCATTTTCTTAATGTCTTTCATTTTTGTAAAGCACTTTGAATTGCCTTGTGTTGAAAGGTGCTATATAAATAAACTTGCCTTGCCTATATACTCCGTTGTGTTCAGGCCTTAAGGGGAATATTTAGGTGTATTATTTCCAGGCATGCATCTAAGTGTAAACTGATGAGAGATTGCAGATTAACAAGGAAGGTGGTGTGAGAGAAAAAAAAAAGCACCTTGACACGAGGGTGAGTTATGCTAAGCTGAGCCCAATGAATGACCTCTAACCATACTGGCAGGACATGACAGTCACTTTACTTGGCAGTATCTTTGCCTTCCCAAGACGGTGGGTCAAATTTCATGCATCAAGCGACCTTGGGTATCATGAAAGGCGCAATAGAAATCCAAGTTATTATTATTATTATTATTATAGCAAGTTTTATTTGAGTCTGAGAAAGCTTGCAAGTAGGGACAAGCTAACAAGAGTGACAAGAAGTGAGAGCAGATATATTTAGATCTACATATTGGCATCAGGAAATAGCCCATCGAGCAAGTTTTGGAGTAGAACAAATGATTATGCAAGATCGAGGTTTTAAAAAGCTGCACACTTACAACAATGACCATAGTGACATAGTGGTATATGCCGGTTATAACTGAAATATCATGAACATTTGTCCAGCTTTTGTTGTGTTAAATGTTTACATAAGAAGATTGAGAGTGATTAAAAGGGCAGCTAACATGAAACTAGGATGGTTGTGATTTATATCTGGTGTATAAAACAACAAATATATGGTGAAAATGCTTTATCAAGACTTTTTTTAATATGGAATCTGATTAACAATATCTCTAGGAATTAAAAGCACCTTTACAAAAACAACGAGGAAGACAGTGATTTATATCTGCCTGTAAAATATTGAGAGATATTGCGACAGATATATTTTAACGCCTATTTATGGGTGAGACAATTGACTAAGAAGATTAGAAAGAATTAAAAGAGCCTGTACACAAACAAAAAGGATGAAGTGACTGATATCTGCCTTTAAAGAACTACAATATATTGTAAAATATACTTTGTCAGGCATGTATTTGGATTAAAGCACGTGACTTAACTACGGAGAGGAAATATAAAGACTGTGCATAAAACTGGCAGGACGTTAAAGACTGAGATAATATGCCTGTAAAATATTGAAATATTTCGTGAAATATACTTTATCAGGGGTATTTAGTGGTAAAACAGAGGACTAAGAAGATTATAAATAAAAATAAAGAGCCTTTGCTCAAACAGGAACGATTAGAGACAGATTCCTGCCTGTTTATTACTGAAATATGTCGTGAAATATACTTTTTTAACCTTTTTATGGATAAAACAGTTAACTAAAAAGATTAGATAGACAAAGAACCTGCCTGAACAACAACAAAAATGACGATTAGGGACAAATGTTTGCCTGTAATACATAAAATATCGTGCAATTAAGATGGCAAAAATGAATTAACGGTAGCATTTAAAAGTTAGCAGCTGATTAATACGACACAACCAAACTGATGTCACTGATGTTTCCTGAGTTAACTTTATTGACATTAATTAAACAACATTTACACGGAATTAAACATTTAATTAAGTTTAATGTATCGTAATAAAGTGCTCACCTTTCGAGTTGTGGTGCCTCGGTAGTATGTGACTCCCTCGCAAAAGCTATTCCTGCTCTCACACTAAAAGCTGCGTTGTCTCCTTCACACACATCTGCGCAGAGGTTACACTCGAACTCCCCGTTCTCGATTCCTATTTGACAAGAGCACCGTCGATCAAAGAATGGACCAATAGGATTGAGGTCAAACTGTAGAGAAGGCGGGGCGTGCTTAATCTTGACCGTGATGTGCGGGGATGACCGCAGAATTGGATTGGATCTCTGGTATACATCTGTCTTTAATCCCTGATCCTAATCCTCACACACACACACACACACACACACACACACACACACACACACACACACACACACACACACACACCTCAATTAATCGTATTTTAATCGCAATTACGATTTTGGCTTGCAACGATTATGAAAACAAAATAATCAAAATAAAACGATTATTTATTTATTTAAAAAATTTTTTTTATTGGTTTTTCAGTTGAATTATACTTCAAGTTCAGGGTAATCAACTGTTAAATACATACATTTCACCAAAAATAGGACCAGTTCATTTGTATTTCAAAATTGTAACAAACTGGTATTCAACAACAGGTAATCCAGGTGCATTAAAGCAGGCAGTGGTGAAAGTATAGCATAGAAAATGCTTTGCCTACCTTTTTACGTTCAAAATGTTGAAATGTCTTGTCCTCTTGTCTCCTATCCATTCCCACCCGCACCAATCACCGGACCTGGGGGGACAGAGCCTTCTCCGTCGCTGCCCCCTCCCTCTGGAACTCACTCCCACAACCCATCAGAGACTGCACTGACCTCACAACCTTCAAAAAACTCACCTCTTCAATCTGGCTTTTAATGTGGGATTGTTTTTGTATTATTTGACTTTAACTTTAACTATATGTTTTTTTGTTGTTCCTTTCTTTTCTCTTCACTATATCTGTAAAGCGTCTTTGAGCAGCAGTAAAAGCGCTAACAAATTAAATCTATTATTATTGTGCTATATCTGCTATTAAATTGATACAGTAACCACATCTACATAAAACATGATACATAATAAACTACATTAAAAGGAGCACCAGTTACTTGATGGTGAGGACTAAATCAATGTCAAATAAATGGATAAGTTTGTTTTTTGTTTACTAGGGCAAACTTTATTCAACAGTAAAATAATAATACACGGCCCAACTTAACAACATACTTGTAATTAATGACATGATCAAAGGTCTGGCAAGTCAGCTATTATTACTAAAGGTAATGGCAATTTTAATGTTCCAATGTCCTATATTCTTTGTCATTACTTCACAGGAGGGCTGGAGAGTGATACAGACGCATTCACAAACAGATGATTTTCCGGTCTTTTGCTGCAGTTTAGAATGATGTTTAATTTTGCGTTTCACATACCAAGGTTTATCATACAGTCAATAGTTGTGGTGAGCATCTGCCGGGCTGGTGAAATCGGTATGCTCTCTTCCTCCTGTGTCCTCGTCCTTTCCTGTCACCTATGACCCTTTTTACATACCCAGCAGCTAACCCCCGCCACCAAGTGTCCAAAATAATGTTGCAGTATAAATATAAGCAAACTGAGACACCAACAACACCCATAACATGGCTATTACACAACTGCCTAGAACCCTCCAAGTTCACTGACTACAATAAGGCACAATAAACTTAAGATCCTCTTTTAAAAAGCCTTAAAGTGCACCTATCATGCTATTTTTAGGCAATAGCATAGGTCTCAGATATATAAAAATATATAAAAAACATGTCTATGAAGTGTTTTGCTCAAAATACCAAACAGATCACCCATTGTAGCAATGCCTCATATCCCTCTATTTCACTTCCTGTTTCAAAAGTGCTGATTTTGGGTATAAAAAATTGATTTAAAAAAAAAAAGGAGGCGGCTGAGTAGGGCTACTCGATTATGGCAAAAATCATAATCTCGATTATTTGGGTTAATAATTGATAATTTACTTTGAAAACATCCATTTATTGAAAAAAAAAATTTAATAGTATGTTTTTAACAGTTGAACCCTGAACTGTAAGTATATTTCAACTGAAAAACCAATACAAATAAATAAAATAAAATAAACAATCGTTTTATTTCGATTATGTTGTTTTCGTAATCGTTGCAGGCCAAAATCGTAATTGCGATTAAAATACGATTAATTGAGCAGTCCTAGGGCAGAGCTCATGTG